TGTCGGCAAGATTAATTGAAGAAATAAAACTTTGTCAAGAAAAAGATCAGTTTCTGTCTTTTGTTTTTGTTTTAAATGAAGTTTTTGTTCTAGGCCGGTTGCCCGGGCTGGATACTTTTACATGGAGAAATTTCATCCCGGCTGACCGGGCGCCCGTTTGAATCAAGTGGGATCCCAGCTAAACGGGCTGGCCCGGTTTGTCATGTAAAGTGAAATTGCTTTGTGTTGGAAATTACTATGAAGCCGGGCGCCCCGTTTAAACGAGCCAGCCCTGCAAGCCGGGCTCATGTAAACAGCCCCTTATTTTACAATATTACTATTTGATTAAATAAAAAAATAGTTATTTAAACGTTTGAATATGTAAATGAACGTGATAGTCTGTTTTTAATACATTATAAAAATTCGAATTCTATCTCCTCTAGGTGTATATTTCGGTGCGTGTTCGTGGCGATCATTTGGTCAAATCAAATCAAAAGGGACCGTTCATATTATGTTTTTCAAAAAAGCAGTGAATTGTGAACTCGCTGTACCTGTCCAAACTTGCTAGCGATGCGTGAACTCGCTATATGTTATACTTTATACCAGCTAAGTGTGATCTCGCTAGCTGGGCAATCGTTGACGTTGGCAACAATAAAGTTGTATACTGATTCTGTCAAAAGATCAAGCCAACAAGGTATTGTATATCAAATTTTACAAATATATAGGTTGTATGTCAATTAGAAAATTGCCAATAAAAATAGTTGTATATTGCAGTAAAATGATTATTAATATTGTCATTATGGGAATATGATATGGAGTAAAGCCCTGAATAAAAGAACCAGTGAATTTTGACCTCGATCAGGCTGAAGTGGTTCTTAGTATATATGTAATCTTACTTCACACTATACTTCTTTATATTCTACACTATAATAGGGACTGTTGTTGCATAAAACTATTGCTATGACACTAATATGGTTCTTGTTGCATATATCTAAACTTTTAAAAAAATGTAATACTTGTATTTTGGTAGCGAATACAGCCGGCCTGCGAAATAACCCCAAACATTCCATACTGATGACGTCCATATGACTTGTTTCTGGTCATCGCTTCTGATTGGCTAGTTTATAATTACTGCATAATTTAGTGCGAGAACGATAATTATTTATAGTAAATTGAAACATGGCCTTTCAAAATGAGCGAAGTCCTCAGAGGAGTTGATTTAAAAGGTGGTATGGGACAATATTTTTGTGAAAAAGTCAAATTTTCGAAACAACCATATTATACATCATTGATCATTGCTTTTTCATTTCCCGGCGTTATTTTTTTGATTTGCGCGAAGAAAACGGGAAAATGTTGAAAAATATATCATTGTTTGTAGTTTTGGTCCTTAGCAACCACTATAGCAACGAGATTCTGTTGAAATAACCATCCCATTGGTTCATTTTATTTAAATTTGCATATTTTACTCAGAATAAATCGCTAGCCTCCCCTCCCTATCTGTACTTTGTTTTGTTACTCTTTTATTGCATGTTACACCAAGTATTTGCCTGTAAATACAACACAAATTTCCAATATCATCTTCGGCGGCCATCTTTAAAGAGCAATTTTTAAAAGCTTCTTTATAAGATTATTTTACAAGTCATTCTGTTTACAAAATGGCAAGATCATGAAGAAGGAGTCGTAGATTTCAAGGGAATCAACATGCCGTGTAGAAGCGGGGAAAACTAAGCCAAAATTCCCTTCAAAAATTGAATCAAAATCGAAGTACACGATCCAGTCGTGTTCAAGATGAAAGCTCTAATAAGGCATCGCATGCAGTCAGCCTCGGCCAGGAAAACTGGTGAAATTTATAGTGATATTTTAGTGTCTATGTACAGTGAACGAAAATAAAGTAAGTGGTTATCGTTTTACTGATATTTCGATTCTGTGCTCCATATATCAAATGTTGCCATGATGCCATCCAATTGACATAATTTTGATGGATGACAGTTCAAAACCAATGGGTCATGTCTCTCGCACATGTAACTCGTGTGGATGGACTGAAACATTTTATACTTCAGAGAAAAATAGCTATTTTTTACATAAATCGAAGAGTGGTATATGCAATGAGGTCAATTGGTTGTGGGCAACTCCCAATGTCTCGGTTCTCTGTTCTACCATGAACATGCCAACACTAGTTGGCTCAAAGCCATTTAGGGAGCACACGAAAGTGATAAGATGGGCTGCAACTGATGTTGTTGAACAAACAATAAAGGATGCAGCACAGAAATCTACAACTCCAAGACTGAGGACGGTGAAGACATTGTGGAAACTGCTGTTTCATGCGATGGAACATGGCAAAGAAGGGGATTTACCTCGTCGCACGGATGTGTAACCGTCATTTCCATGGAAAATGGAAAAATTTTGGACGTAGAACCCTTGAGCAAGGTCTCCAAAGCATGCATCATTTCAACATTAGTGCCAAAGCAACTATTGAAGTCTTCAAAGCCTTTGGTAATAAATCCAGGAGCTTTTTGTGTTGCTGGAGTAAGGGAAGCCGATCGGCTTCGTGTTACGAAATCTAGCTACAAGGTGAAGGAGAAAAATAAAGTACAGAGAAAGGTCATCAGGGGAAGAAATAAGAGGAAAGGTGACAAGAATGAAGAAGAGGGAAAAACATATGCAGCAGGTTCATTTCAAATACACTTTGATGTAATTTATCTGTTTAAATGTAATTTGTTTGTCTTCAAAAGTTATTGTGCAACTTTGAACTCGATTTTCTCAAAATGACATTTTACCTAGCTCTCTCTCATTCAATATTAGTCCAAATTTGATCAAATTTTCAGAATATAATGATTGTAAATAGATCTCAAACCCAAACCTCAAAAATCATATTTATCATTATAATATATCTATAAAAAAATTTTTTTGTCTACAATGAATACCCAATTTTTGCCGATTTTGAAAACAAATTAATTTTTTTTAATGAAATTTTTTCAAATGTGTTATTTTTTGAGGTTTGCATGTTTAATACATCTATTGACTTTCCTTCAAACTTAACTATATATTTTGATGACCATTATTACTCTTGCTATCATGTCCCGAAAAAGGGGTACTTTTTCACTATATAGAAGGGTGTGGCTCGGTAACCATGGAAACAGCACATATGAAGTTTGTATGTTTGGTCTCAGCAAGTGATGTTCTATCATATGCAACCTAAACGAAGTTCATAATACTAAAAATAAAAAAAATTTAAATATTGATTATATAAAGTATAATCGATAAAAAACCCACATATATTCCTGATTGTTTAGTAAGATTAGAAATATCAAATTGATTCTAGCTTCGGTGTTCGATATAATACATTATTATAGTATTATTAAACACGATATATTATAATACAGCAGATTGCGGATTTACCTAATATTTTGGCTCGGATCGCGGATTTTGCTTCAAATCGGCGGATTTTTTATACCCCTATTCACCCCCCCCCTGCTCCCGATTTTTATTATGTTTCTGAAACTACTATATTAAAATGGAAATCATGTCTATATGTATAAAATAGATATGTATACTATGTATGTAGTGATATAGTGATTGCGTGCGCAGATGCGCCAGTCTTATATGTGCATGTCCCACAAGCGCGGCGCTGAAAAACTGTAATTTATATAAATACGAGATATAAAACTACTAAGCATCGAGGTCCGGATTGGAGACGGTTATCCAAATACTGAAACTTAACCCGTCGCCTACCAAATTAGACCTCTTTCTTCTCCTTTTTGAAATATTTTTAAAGAAATAGTAACCACGCCACCACGGTGTTTTAAATATTGACTATATAAAGTATAATCGATAAAAAACCCACATATATTTCTGATTGTTTAGTAAGATTAGAAATATCAAATTGATTCTAGCTTCGGTGTTCGATATAAATACATTATTATAGTATTATTAAACACGATATATTATAACACAGCAGATGATTGCGGATTTACCTAATATTTTGGCTCGGATCGCGGATTTTGCTTCAAATCGGCGGATTTGTATACCCCCCCCCCCCCTTCTATGCTCCCGATTTTTATTATGTTTCTGAAACTACTATATTAAAATGGAAATCATGTCTATATGTATAAAATAGATATGTATACTATGTATGTAGTGATATAGTGATTAGTGCAAAATCTCGTGGAATCACTGCAGCGGTAGGCGGGTAGCCGGTAGTGGCTGATATAAACGAGAACGTTGTTAGACGTGATTTGCCCTCATTGAAAACTATTATGTTACTATTTCCTTAAAAATATTTCAAAAGGAAATTAGAATATTAAAAGAGGTCTATGTTGGTAGGTGACGGGTTAAGTATTCAATATTTGGATAACCGTCTCCAGTCCGGACCATTTCCTTTGCTTCCCTAATTTTCGCTGCCCGTAGAAATACCGCCTGCCATGCAGGCTAGTCCGGACCTCGCTGTTCAGTAGTTTCATCACGTATTTATATAAATTACAGTTTCTCAACGCCGCGCTTGTGGGACATGCAAATAAGACTAGCGTATCTGCGCATGTCAAGCAAGTCAATAGACAATTCCCTTTGTAGACTAATTTTTTACCGTGCCAAAAAAGTATATTCCCGGAAAGAGGATACTAAATTTAATAAAATTGCAAAGTTTGGTTGTGAAATGTTGTAAAATGCGGAATATATAGCCTTGCAAAGTTTGCAAATCTTGTATACTTTTGTATTGCGTGCGGAAATTGCTACCACATTTGAACCGAAAATGGTAGCAATTTCCGCACGCAATACAAAAGTATATATACAAAATTTGAAAACTTAAAACGTCAGCCTATTTTTGCTTGTTTCATTGATTTTCCCTTGGTTCAGGTTTTGCCGGACAGTACGGTTTCGCATTAGATTACGACTTAATTTTTCTATTGTAAATATCTCGGCGAGTATTTACTCCCCCTTTTAAATAAAAGCCACCATTGAAATCCTCACAAAGTAACCTTCCGAACGGGGGGTCAAGTGCCGTCAAAACATTACACAAACCGAAACAATCATATATTTACTCACCGCTTGGTCAAAGATTCTAAATTTCATATCCAGAAAATCTTGAATATCTCTTGAACTCTTCGAAATACCCACAAGTCAATCCGAGTGAAATATTCCTTGTATTCAAGCGCTTTCGTGTACAAAATTTCTTTTGAATACGGTGAGTAGAAATATTTGATTCCTTACCGCCAGGGCGGCCCTAGGGATCATTTTCCCCCAGTGGCGGAAATTCACTTTTTTTGGTGCGGGGGCGAAGCCTTCTATATTTCCGACAAAACTTTCAAATTTCCGACAAACCCCCCATTTGCACTCGAAAAGGCTGTTTTTAGCCCTCTTATAGGTCATAATTTCCGAAACTTTGTCATTTTCCACGTAGGTGGGGGCGGCCGCCCCCCGCCCCACCGAGATTACCGCTACTGTTTGCCCCTGGTGTTTTCAGAGCGCACGGCCATATATACCCTGCGGGATAAAATGTAAGGCCATGAAGAGCTAGTCTATTGGGTTAAATATACTTATAGTATAGCACTGATTGTAACAGGAGTACTTCACCCGCATAACCCATTCTCCCACACAAAAGCCGTCCGTGTCTACTAGTACTCATAGCCGGTCTAAAGCCAATTTATATATATTATAAATTTAAGTAAGTCTAAAACAGTTCAAAATACTACTTGAGGTTCACAAAATTGTTGTACTTTTGTGACATTTTGAGTAAAAAGTTTGATTTTGAAATAGATAACTATGATTGAATTAAAGCAAATATGTATTAATGTCAACAGTTCACAAAGTTTCTTTTAAAAGCTTTGCAACAACAAAAACATAGACAAACATAAGATGGCATGCAAATTCTACTTTTGTTCATTCTGTTTTGTTAAAAATTGTATGAAAGCAAGGTTAACTTGTTGTTGTTGTTGCTACAACAAAGTTTGGTTTTGTTCATTTTGTTGCATAATAATCTGGTATAGTCTCTCTGATTCTGTCTTTTTCTCCTCCAGTTCAGCTTTCTTAAGTTCCAATACAACTAGCTACAACTCTTGTTGTCGCACACGTATTTCTAGCTTTCTCACTTTTCTCTCTCAAATAATTTATTGTGTCGTCAGACCTCCTTGGTTTTGGTGCTGTCTCTTCTCTATCACTACCTTTCTTTCTGGAAGTTTCTCGTATAGTTTGAAGAGATTGCAACCGCAGTTCCTAGTCTGTTCCTCTGCTTGCTAGTGCATTTCATTAATCATTGCCTCTCTTTGCTTTTCCTTTTCCAGATGCTTTGTCAAGTCACTGTCCTTAAACAATTCAATCATTTCACGCAAGCCTTTTCAGTTCCATCTCACTCTCTTCCTCTATACTGGTGCAATCCCTGATGCTCGATCCATTTCATTCGGGGTTTTTTATATATTTTTTCTCCCGCAAATTAAATCTGTCTGACAGATCTGTCTTCAACCCTGAATGAAGGGTCAACAATTTGATTTAAGCTTTCAGCAATACTTTTCCAAAACTCCCTCTTTCGGGTGAATCTTTCTTGAAATTCCATGGCTCGAACATAAGGATCTCACTAATAAACAGGTCATCATGCCTTGTACTCCAGCACATATAAGGTTTACTATTAATTAAGTAAACAAACAGAAATGTACGTATACTGATATTAAAACAAAATTTGCCCATCTATAAAGTTAAACCAACAAGTGAAAGCTACTATGCTTGCAACCATTACATGACAAATCAAGAGTGAGGACACTTCTAGAAACGTCTCGCATAAAAAAGGTCAATTTATAGGTTCCCAGAAATGTTTGACAAAGGGCTTTTGCTCGAAACGTTCGATGAACACTTCAGCGGAAGTATTCTTGAATTCATGGTGGAGGACACTCAAAATAGTTAGAATCCTACCGGGCTACATTGTCACCGTATTTCAGGGTATACAATATTTTTCGATAATGCTCACAATTTTTTTCTTATTATATAGTTTTGCAGTTCTTCCTGAGTACAATTTTACAATGAATGGTGTCATCTGAAGCGGACATATTAAACAAAAATGTCAACAAATAGCAGATTGTTCGGTTGTTCTGCAATAGGGGTAGCCTTGAAGGTGCCATTAAAACGATAACTGGGACAAAAAATGGCTTAGTATTTCTATATATGATATTCTGCAGTATTCAGTGGCAAGGTAGCCATGGCAACTGGTCATGATATTCTAACATGCAAACTTGCATCTATTGGAATATTGCAAATCATTAAAAACTTGCATACATGTAGCATGACCTGTTGCTATGGCTAGCTTTGCCATAGCCTGTATCACTGTATGAGCCTGGCATACGCAGGCTAGCTTTGCCACTCCTCCGCAGGCCTCTCTATGGTACCTGCGGAGGAGGTTAAATTATATTGTACATACAAAAGGAAGAAATTATAAGCATTGAAGGTATTCTTATAAAACCGCCCATGTCAAGAAAGTAGAATTAGAATATTTAGTTGACCTTCGACTTCGTGTGCAAGGTGTTTGATATTCAAATTGCACTTTCAGAATTTCCTACCTCCTGAACAGGTGTCTTAGGGGCTGTTTACATGATGGAAGATTTACATGATGGATGATTTTGATGTATTGAAATACGTCACTAGGATAAAAAAAAGTTCAAATACTGGTTAAAAGAACACAAAAGGAAATTCTTGTAGTTGAAGAAGATTATTATTGCTGCTTGAACAACCTTTCGTTTACAGTTAACTATATAAATCTATCTCTAGAAAATAATGTGGTTTTTTGCTCAATCTTGCACCGTGACTTATTTCAATACATCAAAATGGTCTCGCCTCACATCTCGTACTGCCAAAGTGGGATGATACAAACAGCCCTTTATCACAGAAGGTCGACTATTCAGCAAAAAAAGCGTAACCGCTGCCACGCCATAATTCATCATCAAAATGCTGACGCCATGGTCCTAGCCAGTGCGCTTATGAGAGGCATTCCCCCCCCCTCCCCATGGACATCCGCTATTTTGAATATTATCAGGGGGTGAATGCCTCTCATAAGTGCACATGCTTGGGAGTGAGGCAGCACTCTTGTGATAGTAACTTCTAGTATTTACTCTAAATTGAAGGAAGAGTACACAATCCTTCGAAAAATACTGTAACTAGTGCCGGGCTCCAACGCCGGACCATTAATTATAATAAAATATGATCTCAGAGATAATTCGCGTGGTGTTGTCAAAGACATTAGTCCTGTCGGTTGAATAATTAATTGGACTTTGATTGGGGTGATCTGCAAGAGTAGGAGGGTTCGGATTAAAGTGCACCTAACCCCAATTCTTTTAACATTTCATTCCTAAGAACCTTTGAAATGAAAGTGTAACTTATTTTGAAGATTTTTGTTTGCACACTTTGTCTTTGAGTTATTTCATGCAGTTTTATTGATTCATTATGCATGATTAAAGGTGCCGTAAGGCACAGTTAAATATCATGAAATAATAAAAAGGCCGATGGTGTTTTACATATATATAAGTATATATGTAATCCACGAATCCTCCCACAACTCCAAACTTTAATTTAATGAATTAAACTCGATAGTGAATATACGATATACAAGTTTTTACTTTAAATCATTATTATGCATATATAAAACGTAAATTCCGGATATTTGCATACCAAACAAACTGAAATATCTCAGGAACAAAGTGTGCAAACGAAAATCTTCAAAATAAGATATTATATCATTTCAGAGGTTCTTAAGAATGAGATGATAAAAATAATTGAGGTTAGGTGCATAATAAAGGCCGGTTTCACGCTGTTAATTCCGTCTTGTGGAAGCAGAAAGCTATCCCCAGTGTGACTGTTTTCCTCTCTTCCACTAATATTGTGCCTGTGGTAGATACTTTCCTTCAGTCTAAAAATAACCTTATCAGAATTTTCCTGTATAGTTAACTTAGAAATTACCCCCAATTTGGCAGACCACTGTGCCAGACTGCCAGACTAGTGTCCTGTGTGCACGCGTTCTACAGTTCTGCGAACACGCACTTTGGAGCATGGGGACTAAGCTGTATCGATCTGAAATCGAGCCATCCTCGGTCCCAGGGCCTCACGGCTGACACTGCATTGTCAGCCGTGAGGCCCTGCGACCGAGAATGAAATCGAGCAGAAATGAACAGAAATGCACAAATTCCTTTTCTAGCAGAAAGTCACAAATTCGAGAATTTTAGTTCGGGCTTGGCAATTTCTTAACGAAAGAAGCTCTCCAGGTCACTGGAAAAATTAACTTCCTTCCATACTATGTAAATAGTATGCAACTTGTCTGTAAATAGACTGTAAATTTCATTTACACACTAAATGTACATTGACAAACTATGTAAATTTAAAACTAATTTGTAAAATGTTTGTAAATTATTTGTAAAACATTGGGAATTATTTCCGAATAGTTTGTAAATCACTGCAAACAGTTTGTAAATTATCAGCGAGTGTTTGCAAATAGTTTGTAAATTAAATTGTAAATAGTATGTAAACTATTAGTAAATAGTTTGTAAATTAAATTGTAAATAGTTTGTAAACTATTAGTGACAATTTGTAAATAGTTTGTAAATTAAATTGTAAATAGTTTGTAAATTATTATCAACTAGTTGTAAATAGTCTGTAAATTAAATTGTAAATAGTTTGTAAATAGTTTGTAAATTAAATTGTAAATAGTTTGTAAATTATTAGTAACTATTTGTAAATAGTTTGTAAACGACATTGTAAATAGTTTGTAAATTGTTAGCAACTAGTTGTAAATAGTTTGTAAATGAAATTGTAAATAGTTTGTAAATTATTAGTAACTATTTGTAAATAGTTTGTAAACGACATTGTAAATAGTTTGTAAATTGTTAGCAACTAGTTGTAAATAGTTTGTAAATGAAATTGTAAATAGTTTGTAAATTATTATGTATTACTAAATCAATCACTTGAGCAACCATTTTTTATCTAAACATATTTATTTTCCAAAATCTCTTATATACAGTACATTTTTACTGTAAGTTAAAACAATGAAGTGAATTAGAAAGTACAAATTTAAACCATAATTATTTCTAGGGACCGTTCATTATTAATACAGGGGGGGTATGAAATGTGTGCGGAGCGTAGACATTTCTGAGCAAATATTTTAGAGGAGATGTAAGTTTTTTTAATGATGGAGGGGGGCTTGCATACATATTTCTCAATTATAGCACAGTTGGGTTGGTCCGAAGATGGACAGGGTTCCTCGACCAGAACAAGATTATGACAGTCTTCCCTGTTGCCACTACAAACCAGTGTTTGATAGCTCTAACAAGAAACCCAGTGGAGAAACAAGATATCTGGATGATTTCCAGCCAAGAAAAAACTTGAAAGTGGAGTTTGCCAATGATCGTATATCTGCAACCGACCAGGAATGCATTACAATAAATTCATCGTAAAGGAAAACTTGGTGCATGAATACCTGGAGCACTTGCAGAATATGCAAAGGATAAAGGGGAAAAAAAAACAGAACAAGAGGCAAACGGAAAAAAACCCAGAACAAGACAGAAGACATATGATGACTACTGTATGAATGGGGGAAACAAGTACAACCTAAAGAAATCAGTAAGCTACTATATGCGGCAGAACTTGATAAGTATCTCAATTATCACAAGTTGAACAGGAAAGGAAAGAAGCCGGATAAGGTATTCAAAACCATAGCGTTAAATAAGTAATATAACATTTTCTAGTATCAATACTGTCCATTGCAACTCGATGCAATTTAGCCACTTCCTCTCTGTGTAAGTTATTATGATTTATGTATGAAGAGGGACAGGAGTATTCAGAGCGTGGAAATACCATGTACTGTAGACAGTGATGACGACGAGAGTGAATTAGAGGAACTGGATACTGTAGAGAGTGTGCGTGAAACTGAAATGTCTGATAACATATTGAAGAAATCTCTTGGACAATGATTTTGACAACTTATTCTTTTCATATACAGTATGACCAATACATGCCAAAAAATATTCAATTCATATCTTATATTCAATTCATATCTTATATTCATCAGCCTTTTTTTTATATGGAAAACGTATAAAATATTAATTTGTGGTAAAGACAACAAAGAGGGGGGATGTAAATTTTTCAAACTGTAGTCTAGGCAAATAAGAAAATCAAAATATGACCGGCCAAACATCCATATTGACCGGCAAATAATGCACATGTCATGATGACGAGTCGGAGTGTACCGTCCAGATGTATTTCGAGGCCTGGGCAAAGGGGGATGTATACTTTACTATTGCTTTTACCAAATCCGTAACAGCCCCCCCCCCCCCTTCCTGTATTAATAATGAAAGGTCCCTTTAAACCTATAGTCTATATTACATATTTTGATTCAATAGAATCATTTCAACATAGTTTATATCAGTCGCAATCCAAATTAAAGTTCATGTTACCAGTACAGGTGATTTGAAACCAATAGAATCTTTGCTGAATGGCACTTAACACACTCAAATAAGAACTCGTCACTATGTTGTAGCTACAAATGATTTGCTGTTAGCAACTGCATGTCCTTCGTTAAATTAAACATTAATGGCCAACACGTTCCCTTGAAAAGATAATTATTTTGCATTAGAGAATATTATGAAGAGTGCACTGGTACGTTTTATGGGTCCACGAGGCCAATGAGGATGTATCATACAACTTATAGAACAAACCCAATCTAATCTTTTGTTGGTGATTATTTCACGGTCATACGTACTATTAATCTTAATTAATCATTCAAACTATCCATACTGTAAAACAGTTTCCACTAGCTGCCAAAAGATTCTAGGTCTTGACAACCTGCTGATTAAAAAAGACTCGAAGTTTTGACAACATAAATTTCCACTATTCACAGTATACTATTAAGCTTAATAATCATTTAAATGTTTAATTATACTATCCATACTGTTAAACAGTTTCCACTGCCTGCCGAAAGACTCTAGATCTTGACAACCTGCTGACTAAAGACTCAGAGTCTTGACAACATAAATTTCCACTATTCGCAGTATACTATTAAGCTTAATTAATTTATCATTTTATTAAGTGTTTAATTATACTATCCATACTGTAAAACAGTTTCCACTGGCTGCCAAAAGACTCTAGGTCTTGACAACCTGCTGACTATTAAAAGACCTGTTAGTCTTGACAACATAAGTTTCCACTATTCACAGTATACTATTAAGCTTAATTTATCATTTAATTAAATGTTCAATTATACTATCCATACTGTAAAACAGTTTCTACTGGCTGCCGAAAGACTCTAGATCTTGACAACCTGCTGACTAAAGACTTGATGTCTTGACAACATAAGTTTCCACTATTCACAGTTTATTATTAAGCTTAATTAATTAATTTATCATTTAAATGTTTAATTATACTATCCATACTGTGAAACAGTTTCCACTGGCTGCCGAAAGATTCTAGGTCTTGACAACCTGCTGACTAAAGACTCAAAGTCTTGACAACATAAGTTTCCACTATTCACAGCATACTATTAAGCTTAATTTATCAATTAATTAAATGTTCAATTATACTATCCATACTGTAAAACAGTTTCTACTGGCTGCCGAAAGACTCTAGATCTTGACAACCTGCTGACTAAAGACTTGGAGTCTTGACAACATAAATTTCCACTATTCACAGTATACTATTAAGCTTAATTAATCATTTAAATGTTTAATTATACTATCCATACTGTAAAACAGTTTCCACTGGCTGCCGAAAGACTCTAGGTCTTGACAACCTGCTGACTAAAGACTCGAAGTCTTGGCAACATAAGTTTCCACTATTCACAGCATACTATTAAGCTTAATTTATCATTTAATTAAATGTTTATACTATCCATACTGTAAAACAGTTTCCACTGGCTGCCGAAAGACTCTAGATCTTGACAACCTGCTGACTAAAGACTCAAAGTCTTGACAACATAAGTTTCCACTATTCACAGTATACTATTAAGCTTAATTAATCATTTAAATTTTAATTATACTACATGTACCCATACTGTAAAACAGTTTCTACTGACTGCTGAAAGGCTTTAGGTTTTGGCAACCTGCTGACTAAAGACTCGGAGTCTTGACAACATATTAGTTTCCACTATTCACACAGGTGATGTGTCAGAATAAATACTTGAGAGTTGGGTAGAAAGCCTGACTAGATTCCTCACAGGCATCAACCCTTGTGACATCATTATGCATAAGGTCTATTGGCCACCTGGCACCCTGGTCATTTCTAGGGCTGCACTAGATAGAACTTTTTGCTATCCAGCCAGATTTCAACTATGTTGGATAGTTGAAAGATTAGATACCGGCCAAATACTGGATACTGTTGGATATAAAGTTTAGACTTTCATTTAAGATAAATAATTATTCCAATTGGTTATAAAGTGATGGTGTTTATAATACTTGAGATACTTGAAATCATAGGAAAGAACTTCATTCTAAACATGAGTATTGCCAAAGCCTTGCTCACAAAGTTCAAAGGTTGCATATAAACACACAACTTGGCTCCTAAACATTCACTAATTAATGCCATATTTAGGGCTGCATAGTACTTTATATCATATTGGGATATTTCTTCAGGGATACAATATTATTTCCTCCGGGGTCATCATTTGAGCTTGGAATTCCTCAGAGGTATAACTATGGGCCTGTTTATATGGAAGCCGTGCTGGCCCGCTAAGTGAGACAGCCCGATAAGCAAGATCTCGCTGTGTAGTTATTTTTATAGTAAAAATTATTGTGCGTTTATATGGACAAGCTGGCTGGCCCGGTTGCTGAGATCTCGCTTGAAAGAGGCGAGATCTCGCTTACCGGGATGGAAATTTCTCCATATAAACACTCGCAAGCGGGCTTGCCCGGTTGCCGGGATGAAAGTTCAAAGATACCGCCGCAAGCTATTTTTAACAACTGTCAAAACAATACAATGTAACAAAATTGTCCCAGCAAGCGGGATGAAATTTTATCATATAAACCATAGTATAAACACAAGTTAGAGAAATTCATCCCGCTTACCGGGCTGTCTCGCTAAGCGGGCCAGCCCGGCTTCCATACAAACAGGCCCTATGAGAAACATATACCCTGAATGTATTCAGGATGTTCAGCAACATGTTTATTTAGGGTTGTCTGGATAATATTAAAATGGAAATATAGGCTATATAGCTATTTTATACTACAATGATATGGAAATAATAAAGATATAAACACAAAGTAAGGATTGTTTTCCTTTCATACAAAGCAATAGAACTTTCTTTGGCGATTATATCATCAATATAATACATCAATATACAAACATACCTTCTTGTAGCCTGTACTAGTCACTGTCTAACTAGTGTAGTAAATATATTCTAGTTTGTTGTCGTTTCATATCATGATTTCGACAGTTCGACTTGCTTGAACCACATATTATGACAGTATTTATTGCTTGGAATTATAATCTGTAAATACAAAGCAATATCGCAGAGTTTTTATGTATTTTAATAACAATATATTGTCGAGCAAAATACAAGGCCGCCAACGGCACGGCGATTAAAAATATACATGAATAAAACTATTATGGCACATATTTACACACGAAACTTCAAAATATTGACATAGTTGAACACTTACATTTAAAATTATTGTGTGCATCTTCAAAAATTGGAGTATTTGATCTTATTTTCTTCAATATTTTAAGAAAACTTGGCCATATCACTGAATATCAGTCGTTATAAAATTTCCAAACGACGCGCTCGAAAATCGTGCCCGCTAAGCCTTGTGGGAGCCCCATATGAATTTAATTAATGAATTTACATACTAGCTTGGATATCTACATTACCAGCTATTTACATAGTATTTGATTTACATACTATGTAAATATTTTAGTGGTTAATTGCAAACCTTTCAATAGTTTTACAAACTATTTACATAGTACATTTACAAACTATTTACAGTTAATTTACACACTAGCTGGGAAATGTGCATTAGCAACTATTTACATAGTATTTGATTTACATAGTATGTAAATAATTTAGTGGCTGCAAACTCTTCAATAGTTTTACAAACTATTTACATTGTACCATAGTATGTAAATATTTACATAGTATGTCAATAGATTGTAACATCACTTTACATAGTATGTCAATTAAATCTTACACACTATTTACATAGTATGTAATGGAGTTGATTTTTCCAGTGATTTCCATGATATAGTTTGCATTCATTATAACGTCCTCTAATTGGAATGCTCTATATCTGAAATAATAAGTTGCTTTGTCATTATAAATTTTGTCATGCAATCATGTTGTTACGTATAAGAGTTGCAAATGCTAGGCTAGATCCAGTTAGGCTGAAGTGCGACTATCCAGAAGCATTTATGTTTGTAGGGTATGACACATTTAAATGCTTGTTTCATTTATGATGGCGTTGAAGCTTTTCTTGAATTTGAAGGAAATATAACACATTTGATCTAAGCTATCGAGCTATCAGAGTATTGAAAGAATTTTGTAAAATACACAAATTAGCCATCGTCTTCTTATTCCAGGTTTCACAGATCAACTTTTAATATATTACAAACAATTGAGAAGTGAATAAAAAAAAAGAAGATTTATATATTCCAGGAATCTTTTACGTGCTTTATGTCCAATATTCAGCAAGAAAACGCATGAACAAAAATTGAGATCAATAAAATCTAAAACGTAAACAAGGATTAATTTAATACGACATTCTCTGTTTTTCATCTCGAAGTTTAAACGGAAGTAATTCTGTTATTGATGGTATGCGTCTGACGTATATTAAGCAATGCCAACATTCCGTCGGTCTTCCTGCTCAACTTATAATGATTCGTATACCCTTTACATTCTTTGAATTTTTATTCCCCAACCTACAGATTGTAGTTGGTAAAGTCGGTGGAGGAGATGGACGCGATGGACGAGACGGTCGTGATGGCCATAAAGGTGACAAGGTATGTACTTAGGTCTACAAGTTTAATAGACACTCGCATATATTTTTCCTATATTTTTGCTCGCATATAATTTCCCTCATTTGCCTTCGATTTTCCATAGTATATCAATTCTTCTTATTTCTTCCAAGCATAATTGCTTGAAACCTCGTTGTATGAAACAAATTTCTAAAAATTTGAGTTTAAAAATTGAAATCTTATTTATTGCACTCCCGGCAACCAGACTAAATACTTTTGAGATCAGTAGGCGCGCGCCCGCGATTATTGAATAAATATCACCAGTGCCTTACTTTCCTTTCCCCAAGGTGTTCGCTCCCCCCCCCCCTGGCTTACACCTTTGCCTTGGGGATTAATAAATCAAATTATTGTTTTCACTGTTAAATAACCGCCGTAATTTTACAGCAAAAAGTAATGGCAGCTGGAACGCCAGAAAATGTACTGTGACTTTAATAGACTGATTTTTAACCGAAATTGGTATTCATACCCTAAAAGGGGTGTAGATAAAAGGCGGACGGACGGCGGACCGCGGACAGCGGACGCAGGAGCATTTTATAAACACATGATTACTACCGCAACTAATTATAATATACCTTAAATTAAAGTATACCAGCCTTAGATCTGTGAAATGAATATGTTTTCACCCGTTCGAATTTTTAGCAATGGAATTTTTTAATCAGCATTTAAATGATACAGTACGTATTTATGTTAGGCTATACGCCGTCGTTCACGAAAATTGTTTTGAAATATTGTAAAAAAGCGCATTAGTTTTGGAGCTTCTGTTAGGCAGAATTAAATGACATTCACTTGCTGACATTTTCGTACTTTAAAAAGTGCTGACCAATGCTGCTCGATATTTTTCTGTCATTCAAGGCTCTTGAACGATTGTTTTATTTCGTAGGCACATATAGGTAGTAGGTATTGAGTATAGGCTATGGATCGTGATTTAATTAAGAGAATTTTTTATAAAATTTAGACATGCAAACGTTCACAATTGTACATATTTACAATTGTATATATTTGTCATTGCTTTAACTGTATTGAGTTATTGATATTTTCGTGACATATTTATGCAAATATAATATATTATAATATCTACTATGTAAATGTCACACACTAATCAGTGTAACAAGCTGTTTGAAAAATGTATATATGTGTGCAGCGTAAATTTGGGTATTATATCATATGTATTTGAAGGCTTAGGGAAGGTTATAATTTCGTTCTACATTTATATACAGTGGAATAGTAATGTGTAAGCACTCACATGAATGGATCTTGGCTACGTGTTAGCCTTTTAGTAAGTAAATCGGGGATTAATTTCATTATAAAAAAAACAAGTCAGCACAAATTAAAGTATGAAAATGACAGCAAGTGAATGTCATGTAATAGCTCCCCCCCCCCCCCCCCC